TAATGATCAAAGAGTGATGACTTTATTTATTGAGCCAATAGTTATTAATTACTGATACTGATATCGATTACTAGAATAACATTACTTTTTCATGACTCTTTCCTTGTTTAGTATGATTACTAAAATGTATGTTACCGATTCATTGTTACTATATAATTTTACTAAAACAATATTGATTTAATGTTACTGTACTACTTTACTATTACTATCACCTATAATATTGATACTTTTTAACACTATTACTAATTCATTATCAATGTCACTAGGATTGATTCACTATTTATTGATTCATTATTATTGATTATGGGGTATATTGGATATACTGAGTATATAATTAAATTATTGATATGATAGTAATATAAAATGGCTAGAAATGGTGATACTTATATATGATTTTACTATATTGATATGATTTTGGTGTTGTTCATTGAGGCTTTAGTTATATCAATTTTTATATGATTTTCTTACTGATTAAATAAGTATTTATACAACGATAAATTTATTGATTCGACACCTATATTGATTTATAGGTTTTCACTATGTAATATTTTACTAGCTTATGTACCATACTATTATACCACTTCACCGAGTTTATTGCTGCTGCATGTGAATTTCATTATTTTTGTACAGAATCATGTTCATAATGACTGTTACTATTATGAATTGACTGATGATATACATATTGCTTCATTACCATGCTTTGAATTCAATTATAGGATTTTAGTAACTTACTAGGCTATTTGGCTCATTACATGTTATTTTGATGATTTCAAGTCAGGATAGAGCATCAGGAGGCTGTGATAGATCATGTTTCCTTAGGTTTAGTTTTTTTTTTAATTTTAGTTATTCTTTTATACTCAAGAGAAGATAAAATGTATGTTGTATTTTGTGCACTATTGACTATTGTATATGATTTTCAGAAGTAATGAATACAACTGTATATTGATTTTTTAATAAATAGAATTATTTTTACTGATAGTCATATTAAAATTAGATAGCTTTAGTTGTTTTTACATTAAAGATAAAATAATAATTCTTGAAAATTAGGTTATGGGGTATGACAGGGAATTCTTGTAATGATGTAATATTTTGAGGTTTTTATGCATTGGGCTATTTCTTATGCCATGACCCATATAAGATTACAAGTTATTAGGGTTGATGGTAAGTATGATAATTGTGGTAAGTATGATAATGGTGATAGATATGATAGTGTAAGTAGGTATAAAAATGATAATGGTAGGTAAAAGTTTGGTTGTAGGTTGAAATTTGGAGGTAGGTTTATATATTTTAGTCTCTCCATCTCATTTTTATAAAGATAGAGCCTCTTTGTAATCCTAAGAACTTAACTTTTGGAATAAAATTTTTTTTTCTTGAGTTTTTATTTTTTATATAATTCTACTCTCAAGTGAATGACAATTTTGAGTGTGTGAGTTCACAATCCTTAAAAAAAAAAAGCTTCAAGAAAAGGAAGGAAACATTAGTGATGACAAACTGTTCATAGAAATTGACTTCAACTTATCCCTCTTGCGCCACTGGATACCTTAAATTCCATCGTAGGTTAGACTATTCATAGCTTTTCACTTCATTTTTGCTTTTCTAAGGATTAGGTATCTAGTGCAGTGAACATAATGATAGCTTGAATCACTCCACTTTTATCAAATTCTTTTTATTATCTTTATACTTAATATTAATTTTATATTTAAAAGTATTCACCCATAAATATTTTTAAAAAATTAGTGTAATCATCTAATTACATTCATCCCATATCCTACATCAATAACTCATGAAGAAATGTAAACTAAGACAAATTAGGTGAGATAGTCTCACAAAACTCATAATTATTATTAGTGTTAAAATTCTCCCTGTGACTTTGAATTTTTGGAAAGAAAAGTTGGTTTTTAAAAAATTTTATGTCCATTATTAGCTTATTCTCTTCATATAAAATGCTGCTATTTATAACCTTATTAGTTAGGTGAACACCTAATAAAAATGCATTTTAGATCTTTTGGGTCAATGTTACCCCTCTTATGAAATTAATTGTACTTGAAGGTTTGAACACAACTTTGAGAGTAATGGTAGATATGAGCATATTTGTGGGGGAGGCTTTGGTTAGGACTTGACAAAGGGTTTTAAATTTTAGGATTTTTAATAGCTTGAGATTAATGAGATATGCAATAGTAAGAATAATCTATCTCCAATAATAATTTTAAACAATGTTCAAGATTGTAATGGATCTAGCAAGCACTACGAGAAGACTATTTTTTCTTTATGCAAACCCTTTTTTTGTTGCAGAGTATAAATACACCAGCTTTGGTGAACAATTTCTTATTAAAGAAGATAATCCCCAAAAATAGAATGAATGTGCTCATTATTTTAGTTTCAAACTAAGTTATATATAGAGATAAAGATTTCTTAAAGACATAAACAAGTTTATGATTTATCTAAATAATTCTTGTGTTATCATTACTAAATGATATGAACCACCTTTCCCTTAAGATATTGGTAACCCTAGATGAAGCCAAAACATCAATATGAATGCATAAAATAATTGAAAGGCTTTATAAGGAAGGCTAATATGTTTATTTTGGGCCTATTTTCATATTTGACACATTTTACACTAGAAAGACTTGAGAATTTCATTGATCAATTGGGAAGGAAATAAGATTTTGAGGTAAATTAAATTTTTATGATCAAGAGTTCAAGATAGAGATATCATTATATATTGTACTCTCTTTAGAATATGATTCATACAGAGCATATTTTATTTATAACTAGGGATTTTCTTTACTATTTAATAGCCACAATCATTTTTTTAGCATCGCTAGCCATCATCAAGATGGCATCCTAGCATTCATAATAATTAGGAAAAAAAAAGCACAACTCATATATTTGATAATTTTGTTGATGAATAAGAGATAGCATGAAAGTTTGGGAGCCAAGAGAAGAGAATTTAGAACTTCGAAGCCAAGAGGAGAATTTCTAATTTAGACTGAGGATCGTTTGCACTATTTCAAATTTCTCTTGATTTATAAGAATGGTATTAGTTTTGATCATTGTTAGATATAGTTTAACCATGACCCTATTTTTCAGGTTTTCAATCAAATGGCTTATAGTGAAGTTCCTAACATGTTTTCTTTGTAGATCCAAACTTATGAAAATGATCAGACCAAGGCCTCAATTTTTCCTAGAGTATTATTGTTGTGTGTTAAGTAACATGACACACGAGCACCAATCCTTTATGATAAATTGGGGCACCTTGGTTCCCCCACATGATCTTATTTCTAGATTTTGGTTCTACAAGCATTATAAAATGCTTCCTATATAGATGGAAGCAGCTTCATCTCATATATTCTACCTCTAACATCATCAAAATTTTATTGGAAATTCTTTTTTTCTCAGAAAAGTTTTTTATTCTCAAACTACATTTATATAGTATAATCCATATATACATTACAATTAATTAAATATGATTCGTATCTCTATATTAATTCTAGTATCATAATTAGATTAACTAAGAAAACTCATCATATAGTATGACATATACCGTATAATACGATAAATTCAAATTTTGAATTAAATGTAATCAAGGAAAATAGAAGCAATTAAACCATTTAAAATGTTCATGATCATGTAATATGATTGACATCAAACAATATGATTTGTTCAATTTTAAAATTTTATAATTAATGTACATTGATCTTATCTTTAAATCTCCAATTAAGATGATCTATATCATACAATATGAAAAATTTTGATCAATTTATATTATTTTTTTTGTTTTAGCTTAGATATATTGTGTGCATGTGTGGTGTCTTTTAGCCTCTAAACCTGAATGCATAAAAGTTCCAATTAAAAAAATCTCCATAATTGATTTATTTTGATCAGCCTGCAATTTTCTTGACTTTTTTACTTTCTTTCTTGCCTTGATTTGCTAATTTGAGCTACAACCAACATTCAAGATTTGAAGATCTGTCTCTTTTTTCCCTCTCTTTTCTCTCAAGTTATTTCCTGATGTCAGCTTCTTCCCTCAAGAGATTCTAGATGATAACAATGAATGCCTTGAATGGATATTTGAATTTAGTAAAAGATTTTGTCTGTTTGTCGGTCCCTCAATTTCTCAATTTCCAGAGATGGAAAAAGAAGAAGGATATACTTTATAAACTTTTTGACCGCTAGCTTTGGTTCTGAAACCACCACATTCTGAAAGAATACCAAACACGTACTGGAGAAAGTAAAGGGAAGCAATGATGGAATCAAAGAGGGGTCTTTAAAGTTCCACAGGATTCCTTCTATCAATGATATCAGAGATCTCAAAGCAAATTACAGGCTATGAAAGCATTGGCAAAGGCCGAAGAAAGAAGGAATCGTATAAAGACAATATTTCATAAGAGTTAGAAATCATAAAAGGAGAAGATAGAAAAGAGATAACGCTATGATTCTTGCAAGATGCTATAGATATCTTCCTCTCCTTTAGACTTCATCTAATATGCTTAAATATCAGAGAATTGCACAGATAAGAGATAAGCACCTTTGCCCTCCATGTGATTGTAAATGTCAGTCAAAGAGCTTGGAATACCTTTTTTGTATTCCTTGTGACAAGGCTTTTCAAGCAAGCTACCCTATGGAAGCTGATAGGAAATACTTGAGTTCGCAAGTAACCCTAAGGTAATACTTGAGTTCGCAAGCAAACTTAATTGAAATTGGTGAAAAAAAAGTGCTCAAACTGCTGTTTACAGCAGAAAACTAGCAAAGCACAGCAGATTTAATGGGGAAAACAGTAGAAAACTTGGAGAAAATGAAGGATTCCACTAGTAGATGCAGGAAAACAACAAAAGATACATATTTCTTCAATTAGAGAGGAAAAAACAACTAATACTTGAGTTCGCAAGCAAACTTAATTGAACTTGGTGAAAAAAACAGTGCTCAAACTGCTGTTTACAGCAGAAAATTAGCAAAGCACAGCAGATTTAATGGGGAAAACAGTAGAAAACTTGGAGAAAATGAAGGATTCCACTAGTAGATGCAGGAAAACAACAAAAGATACATGTTTCTTCAATTCGAGAGGAAAAAACAACTCTCCGATTCTCTAGCCAAGCCTAGAGCCAAAGAACACAAACCGTAGATCTCAAATCCCTTTCAAATTCAAGATGAAACTCTAATTCTAACATTAACCATTAATTAAAGACAAAGGAGAATTACAAATTCCCTAAACATCCCCTAATTCAAAATTTTCCCTCCAAACAAGCATTAATCAAGGTGTGGGGCCCAAAGGACTGGCCGGCCCCCCTCTCTCTCCTTGCTTGGGCCCGCGGTGGTAAACCCAAACCAGTCCACTAGGGACCGGTTTAGGCAAAGCAGCCGGCCCCTCTTCGGCCAGCGTAATAGAATCATTACCTGTTGGAAGGGAAAGAGAGGAAATGAGTGGTGCAATAATCAATATGAAAACTGTATGGAAATAAAAATCTATAGATTTATTGGGTAAGAAGTCATTTATATCACAGGGTTATGATAAGCTCTATTACATACTAAATCGGAGTCTAAGAAGGACGTGAGACCCTTATAAGGTAAAAAGAAATGGAGTTGTACCTTAGGAGTTTCCATAACGATGGAATTGTAGCTGTGAAGTATATATTTGAGTATAACATCAATCTCCCAGTGCTTGCATAAAATTTTTTTGTTAGAATCTTTTTGTTTTTTGAAAATGGTGAGCAATAAACTGTTAAGTACAGCTCCAAGACCATTAAAAAAATAACCATCTTCTCTCACTACTTGGCCACAAATTTTTTTACTTAGAAACTTAACATTCCTAATGGAGAATCATGGAAATGCCACTGATCTCCAAGTTCCCGCAAAGTAGAAGTCAAATCAGATCTCAAGAAAAATTAGCTTTTTTCTAAGAGAACAGTGAATGAACAAACATTAAAAAAAAAAAAAACAGTGAATGAACAAACATGCAAAAGCATGAAGAATCTTTTCCAAGTTACAACAAAAGAAAGCAAGATGCTACGTTTCATTGAGCTGAATCATGACAAATGCTGTCCAAGGAGATGTAAGAATAATAAGACATCCACTTCCATAATTTCTAAAGTTGTCCTTGTTGAATTCAAAATTATTTAAAATCATTTGATGAAAAATTAGTTAAATCTCATAGTAGACTTCAAGATTTACTCAAGTTTGATGAGTGGGAAAGAGAAATCAAATTATTGATAAAATTAATTTGCAAAGTACCAAGCCAATCTTTTTTGATAAATAGGTTTTCATTCAGAGAAGAAAGCAAGAATTCTAACGTTCAACTTTTGGTTCAAAGTCCGAGATCAGATGTTCTTTCCCCAGTGCTTGAAAACCTCTCATCTTGTTTCTAGTAAGGTTGACACATCTGGAAGAGCAACAAGAAATTAAGACCATTGTTAAATAAACATATTATAGTATGCTGCAAATTGTATTGCGATTTAGAAGTTGACTCCTTTTGTTGTAAAAACTATGGATGAGTTTCATTGGGTGTCCTGCAGGTTGAAAATAAAGAAAATATTTTAGTGCACTGTCTCAATTTCAGTTGTGATTTATGATCTGCAGTTGTAGGAGTCGGAGCTGTACCAGACATCCTATGTTATTGATTTGAGGTAGTTGGAAGCTTACCCGAATTGGGAATCTGCTTTGTTCCATCGGGTGGTCTACCGACTGACATCATTGATATTGGCCTTTGGAGTGACGATTCTATTGTAGTTCCGCTTTCAAATCATAATTCATAGCTTGAGACAAAGACCATATAGAATTCAGTTCCAATTTACCTGAATCACATCTCTAAGTTCCCCAATGTACCTTGCTACAAGCTAATTAGTATTCTAATTTAGGTCATCTCTTGTTCTTAATCTATAAAAATTCTTCGCTTTACTCATTTACAGACTGATTGCCCGCACATAATGCTGATATTTGTGGTATAAAATTTCTTCAAAATCGGTCGGCAAGAAATACGCCCTTAGCAGCTATTTCATTCTATGCCAGTTCCACACCATTCCTTTTCCTTCCCTCCGCCTTGGCTGTAAAAGTTGCTACCACCACGTGCTTGCGCCTCCTCGTAGTTTGCAAGCTACATATCTCACTTGCTTATCTAGGGGAATCTCCATGAATTAGAAAAAAGTGTCTACCGATCATTCCTAATCCAAATAATCTTATATATGCAATTTCCTATAAAAAAACGGAATATCGAGCTTCGCTCGAAACACCTGGTGGTGATGGTTAGCCATTCCCATTCTAAGGTGTCTCACCCAATCATGTCGAATCAATCAAAGTCGGGCCTAAATAAGCTTCTGTATCATCCACCGAATCAATATAGGGAGCACATACTTGATTGCCTGTAGTTCCATGTGCATTGCAGTAGATAGCCTGAAATGCTCCGCGAAAATATCATTCAACTGTCGTGCTAATCTGGTTTTTGCTTCCCACAAGGAGTCTAGGGTGCGATCATCGTTGCCCCCTATCCGGTTGTTGCAATCCACCATGCACTAGAGCCCTAGGATTTGATACCACTCTGACGTAGTAGTCTTACCGGAGAGGCTATAGAACAGTAACCAAGATAAAAGAGAGAATAAGGTTTCTTCTCAAACTGTAAAAAGTATAAGCATATCTCCTTTCTTTCTATTACATTTCATATATATATGATATAGACTTTCTTTAACTATATAAAGTTAATCAAGCAAAAAGGTGGTAGCACTAGTGCTTGCATAACTGTGAAAATAAGAAATACGAAAGCATGAAAATAGGATAAGTACTGAAGCTATCCTGATGCACCGCATCAATATAGGATTCTTTCTAGTTCAAAGATTTCATACTACAAATAGTTATAAGAGAATTTATAAGAATAACTTTTACACTACACATAATTAGTCTAGAGGTCTCAACTTTCCACATCCCAAATCTTTTGGAGTTTCAAGGCCTTATGGGCCTTAGGTGCTTGAACTGGTTTCCCAATTGCGAGGGCTGTTTGTGCTCAAGCTGAACCTCAACCCCTTTGCAGGGTTTCATCAACTCTTATGTCCGCATACTCATGGTGCATCATGTGGTAACTTCTATTCCGTTATTGTAGGTCAAATGAGAGAGAGGGTAAAATATAACCACATAACAGCATGAGAACGGACCCGAGTTTGTTCATGAATTGCATTAAAAGCATCGCATAACATCAAATTATCTGGTGCCTGACGATTTTCTCTCTTCTTTCTTGTGCATGTAAGCTATTCATTTGATCAAAAAACATAAATTTTGATGTCTTTTGTATGGATTGATCTTTTTTGGTATTACATTGTGAGTTCATCCGATTTGTTCCTAGAAAGCTCTTCTTCTGCATAAACTATTTGGTCATCTCTTACATCAGAAAACCTAGCAGTCATCACTGAAAAGCTTCATGTAATCATATTTCCTACTAACTGAAGTTGCTCAAATACAATTTAACTTACCTGCCATGAATCTGACTTCCAGGTAGATGACAAGCTAGAAGGCAGTTCTCATGGTAGTTGATTAAGACGACTCAGTCGGTTCAATCCCTCAAGAATCATTTACACCAAAAGCTTGATAGGCTCCACAGCATGTTAAGAAACAAACCATAAAGGTGTCCGATACCTAATTTCTCTCAGGCATTACATCAAATACCTTAGCAGCAAAGTTTTCTTTCCCCTCATCTGCATCATCTGCTAATGAGATCAAAACCGATTTTCCTAATGTTACTAGAAAAACTATAATAAGAATGCGGCTCAAGAGAACTGAAGGAAAATCATTCTTACGTATTGGTTTCCAGAGTCTAACAAATCAATTTCTTCAGCCTTAACGGCCATTTTCTGAATCGACCGTCCTCTGCCAGCAACTGTTGATATACCCAATGAATCAAGGCAGATTACCTAAGCACCATTGAAATCATCTCTATTTATATATTTAATAATCAAAATGTTCAAAATAACTCAAATTAGCACTGATTAACTACCTATATCTTTCCCATTTCCTTTATAACAACAGTTGTTCTTCCCTTTCTTCTGGCTTCTTCCCTCTTAAAAACAACTCATGTTGTTCGTTATAACAGAAATTAGTGTAGAGATAGAAAATGACGCTTGAATCTCAATGACACCACTTATAATAGATTTAATTATAAATATGCCATTACAGTCTAAATTTGTTGATTTAAAATCGGGCATGTTGGCAATATTATAGTTAGCTGGTTAGAACCAAATTGAAAGTCAGAATAAAAGCAAGGGAAAATTATCTGAGAGAGGAAAAATGAGATCTTGAACAAAAAAAAAAAATCAAAAGAGAAGTAAATAAAAAGTAAACTTTAAAGTGCACAATGAATATATTGGGTATTGTAGTGATTTGATATAAATCTAGATATACAATACTACTGCAACAACAACAACAAGTTTTTATCCTACTATATGGGGTCGGCATAAACTAGGGTACATCCTCTTACAAATGTCTAGTGAGAACAACCATCACTAAAGTAGAAATATATGGGCTTAAAGATGACCCTTGATGTAATACAACACAAAATGAAAAATATTGGTCAAACCACCTTGTGTTTAAACACAAGTAACAACTCCTGCATACATATCCTTAATGACTTTAATATAAGCATTATTAACTCATTTCTTATGGAAAACTCTCCATAGCACTTCTCTTGAAACTTTATCATATGCTTTCTCTAAATCAATAAAAAGTCATATGTAAATCCACCATATTCTCTCTATACTTCTCCGTTAACACTCTCAATAAATGTATAGCTTCCATAAAAGATCTACCTGGCATGAATCCAAATTGATTTTGAGAAACATTAGTGTCACACCACAACCTATGCGCCATAACTTTCTCTTTTAGTTTAAAATTATGACACATTAACTTAATTCCTCTATAATTTGCACAATCTTGTGTATCACCTTTATTCTTAAAAATAGGAATCAACACACTCATTCTCCATTCATCTGACATCTTTTTAATCTTCAAAATAATATTGAAAAGTTTAGTAAGCCAATAAATTCATTCATCTCCTAAGCATTTTCACACCTTTACTAGAATATCATCATGTTCAATAGCTTTTCCACACTTCATTTTCTTTAAAGCCTCTTTAACTTCGATTTTACTAATATATCTATAAAAATAAAAATCTTATTTTCATTTAGAGTGCTAAGGTCACCAAAGTCAATCACATTCTCATAATCTTCATTTAAAAGTTTACAAAATATCTCATTTACCTTTGTTGAATATCCTCTTCTAATAAAAGCACTTTTTGATCTTTGACCTTAATACACTTCACTTAAACTAAATCATTACTACTCATATCTCTTTGCTTAGCTAACTTATACATATATCTTTCACCATCCTTTGTATCTAATATATTATATAAATCTTTAAAAGCTAAAATCTTTACATTGCAAATTATTTTCTTAGACTTCTTATGAGCTTCTTTATATCTTTCCTAATTATCAAAATTTTTATAGCTAAACTAATTTTTATAACAAATTTTCTTATTTTTTATCTTTTCTTGTACATTTTAATTTCATTACCAACTATTTTTACTATTTTCCTTTTAATACACCAAGCACATATTTTGCAATACTCTTAATATCACTAATTAATTTTTTCCACATAACATTAGTTTTCTCATGTAGTGACAAAGTCTTAAGATCTAGAATCATATTCTAAAAAATATTTTTGCTAATATTCTTTAAAGGCCTAAAAAGTGATGTTGGATACATAAACTTTCACTCGGAATAACTTCATAATATTTACAATATAGATAATATATTTTTCTTATAAAAAATAATCAATCTGAGTTTTATTATATCAATTATTATAAGTGATGAGATGTTCATCTCTTTTCTTAAATAAGGTATTAACAATTACAAAATTATAAGCTAAAAATATATATATATATAATATGATCTTACTACCTTCATTAGTCGATCAAAAGCCTTAGCCACCATGAATGCTTTTAAAATCATCTACATGTCTACCAACATGTCTATTTAAATTTTCTCAAATAAAAACTCTTTCTTTGAGAGATATTTTTTATATTAATTTTTTTAGGTCATTTTAAAATTTTAGTTTTGAATATATATCAAAGCCTATTTGAGAAGAATAAGCGCTTATAATATTAGTAATTTTAGTATAAATATCAATCTTTAAAGCTATTTATCTCCAAATCTATTAATTTTTATAATATTATCCTTCAAATTCTTATCTGTAATCACACATATATCATTTCTAGTACAACTCCTACCAAAATACCAGAGGTTAAATCTTAAACCATCAATCTCCTTAGCCTTCTTGTCAACCTATTTAGTTTCCTGAAAGAATATAATATTTATCCTCCAATGAATCATAATATCTATTAATTTCATTAATTTTTCTATAAGGGAAGCAATATTTTAAGTTTCTATCATAATTTTAATTTCATGGACTTGTTTCTTTGCCCACATCCCTCCATGATGTGATAACCCTTACTTATTTAACAATACACCCGAGCATCAGTGTAGTGACCCTTGCTCACTTGTCCTTGTATTCAAGTCATGCAATGCGTCACTTCCAGGGAACACCATAACATTAATACAATGTATTAAAGGATTCATGTCATGATTATTCAATAAGTTTTAAGCTAGCTATTAACTACCTAACGTACCCTCCACTATTCTCACTCAGGACTTGGGACCTATTTGCATCAATATAAAATCAAGATATACAATATTAAAACTTTTTTTTTGAAATTATATTCACGATTATTCAAACTCAAATTTTAGCAATTTTACAATCAAGGTGAATGTATCAACAAGATGAACATAAAGATAAAATTTAAAAGAAAAATATTTATGACTCTCCTCAATATAGATAAGGAGCTTAGTTCAACTTATGATATTAGTAAAGCGTATCCCTTTCAGGCTAAAATGTCAATCTTACTTATATATGAAAAAAAAAGTTGACATTTAAGAGTTTAGTTTCTTGTTTACTTAAGAGATTTTACAATCTCTCCCAATTAAATAACTAACATCCTCGTTAATAGCTTTATTCCAGAATCATCCACAATGCATATAGGATTCTAGAGGTGGCCCATACAAGTTTATGCGGGGACTCTTACCACATAACACTTTATCATATAGGGTTCATGAGATGGTTCTCATGGCATAATACTTTATCTTGTATGACCTTTAATTTTCATCTTTTAGTTGGTGTATTACTTTGATATCATTTATAATAGCATAATCTCTTAACTATCAAGAGATTGCCCACTTTGGCCTAAAGGCCTCAAAGTCTTTTCCTATTTAAGTAATTTTCAAGGAGGCCATCCATCCTAGAATTTTTCAGAGATGAGCATGCTTAACTGTAGAGTTTTTTAATAAAATTTTAACCATTACATCAAAATGCACCTCAATATTTAAGAGTTTAATTTCTTTTTACTTAAGGGGTTTCACATATTGAGTTTCATGATGACCTAACTCAACATAGCCCATATATCCAAATGTTTTATATTAGGTCGGATGCATGATAGAGGAGTCACCCAAGATCTAACTAGAGAGAGTTTCTTTCTATCATTAAATTTAATAATATATAAACTGAAAATCATCAATGTATAAAAATGAAACATAAACATCATTCAATGCAAAAATATTTTGATATCACAGATTTATTCATATCAAAATTATTTTATACAATAATCATGATTGTTCTATCATTCCATAAAAATGTGTTGGATCCATGATTACAAAAGAATTGATTTATAAATTAACAAAAAATACATTTAACAACAACTCTTTGATATACTCCATAAGTGCCTTACCATTTTCCTAAAATATATAAATAAATAAAGTGATCGAACAACTCAGTAAGTTATTCAAAATCTACAACTACATTCAATGCAAGAAAGTAGAATTATATGTATATTATCATTAATGTAATCATGAAAGCTATTCATGTGTTGAATTAATATATATCCTTGCCACTCTGATACATATATCATATACATTACAATCATGATCATAATCATTTTTTTATTTTTTTTAATCATGATCATATTCATTAGACGTTAAAGTTATATATTATTAAGGGATTTGTATCATAATTATATTATTCCAATGGTTTGCATCTCCATAGCAATTTATATCATTATGTACAGTAGCATATCCTTGTGGATATGTATTTATGTTAATATATAATTAATAAAAAAGGCATAGTATCATATATCATATGAATAATCATTAGGAATATCAGCCTAGTTATGTCATGTGTTATATCGGTCAACTCATATCATCATGAATGCTAGTATATCATGTATTACAAGTGGCGTACTCTAGAGCATCATATCATATTAGAATTATCATCATATATAGCAGTGCTATATCATATGAAATTATTATGTATATAATATTGATAGGAAAAATAAAGCTCTTAAAACAATCATATCTCTTCATTGGGTGTATTCTTGCACATCTCCCTATATTATATAATTCCAACAAATAATTCATAACAAGAATGTGTTTTATGATAATTGAACTATGCAAACCATGCATGCCATAATGAATAACTATGTCAAGTATATGTCAGTCATTTTGTCTAGATCAAATGCAACAATCATTTATCATTTTCTTAATACATATATTGCTCATTTAAATTTGAGAATATGCCTCAAAAAATAGAAATATTAGGTGAAACCTTGACATAATCATGGTAATAAAAGTAGAATGAGATCTATAATATATTAAAAATTATATGCTGAAAATTTTCTAGAAATTGAGATATAATGACTTTTATATTACTAAGCAAATTAAATTTTATAAATCCTACAGAAATCCAAAGTCATTGAAACTAAAAGAAGAGTATTGTATCTTATCTCAAGATGAATATTTTCTTAATTAATTTGATGGACAAGTCATCCTGATGAGCCTTGAACTCTTCTTCTTCTTCTCCTTATCTTTCTCATCTCCTAGCCAAATGCGATTAATGAAATTGTATTTGATTTTTAATAACTTTCAGAAATGGTTCTATATTTTTTTCTTCAAAATTATTATCTTCTTTAACCAATGGAAAGAGGTACAATAACATTCTAAATAAGAGCAAGTAGGATCAAAGTGAACTGATGCTAAAAAAAAAGAGATTGAGAAAAAAGCAAATACAAAACTCTTCTCTTCTATGCAAAAAGTGGGTGAACATATTGTGAGTACGATGACATCTTCAACGTAAAATCTATCT